ATTAATTACAGATGTGGCTAGCACTTCTCTAATACTGGAATAAAATTAATATTCTAATATATGGGTATGACTGCGTATCATTTTATCATTCTTTATAGCACCATGATAATATTTGACAAATTATTTGGGAAAGTGTAATAACTTGTTTGTAGGCAGTGTGCTATAGTTCTATTAAGTTTAATAAGCATAATAAAAGATGGTCCAGCATCTAGGGGTAAAGAATTAATGAATTATCGATACTATTTTGTTAACGAGTTGTTTGTAGGTCTGTTGCTTCAGACGGGTGCACACTTCAATTATGCTACTTCATCCAGAGATGGTTCTGGTTTACATTTGTGCATTTGTAATTTTTTTTACAATTTTCGGAGCGGGAAGTTTTTATTCTGTGCACACTTTCAGTAAGGAAAGACGTTGAATTGAATTTTGAGGAAATTACTTTTTATGAACATTCCATGTAGTATTTATGAAAGGGCTTTGTTTTGCCTTCTTTTGGTTTTATAAGATTATAGTCAGACCATGAGGAAAAAGTACATTGTATAGAAGGGGCCATCATAAAAAACAACTCTAATAGTAATTTTAAAAAATTGCTAATACATTTTGTTACGACTATTACCATCTTTATGTATAAGTTCCTAAACAGGGTTGTAATTTGCCATGCTTACCTATTTTGAGTAGCTAATTTTGTAAGTATTTCAGTGTTTTGCAAGTAAATTCCTTGGTCTCAGACAAAACCAAAGGGATTATGTGGGGAATCTGAATGGCAAAACCTGCAGCCTCCCTGTCGGAGGCAGCCCCATCTCCTCGGGAGCGGTGGGGACCCCTGCTACGTGTACAGGGAGAGGCTGGAATGTGCATCACTCGTCTCACGCTTCAACATCTGTCTCGGGAGGCTTTTCACAGATAGGTAATGCAGATTTTTATGTAATAAACTGGTGTTTTTTCAGTGCTTGATTATCCCATTCAGCATTTAAGAAGGAAAGCTGGCTCTTCCATTGGACTTAGTGGCTTGAGCTATTTGGTTTTCTCTCTGTGCCCCATCTTCACTTTTTCTTTTTTTTCATTTTTAAATTACACGGTTGTTATCTGTGAAAATCATCAGGGGTGGAATAGCTGATAACAGAATGCTATCATTGAGCTCTAGAGGTAATAGCCAAATGAGATAACCAGGGAGCAAGAAGTTAAATCTGTTATTGTTCCTGCTCCTGCCTGCAGGTTCAGGGGGTGCAACCTCAGCTACTCTGCTCTGTCGGGAGGGATGCCTCTGTCACTGGCCAGCTACAAATTAAAAGCTGTAAAAAGTCATAGCTGGGAGGAGGAGGGGATGTAAACTCCCACTGAAGCCTTAAGCCTATAGCCTGTGTTTTTAATGACCTTCCTTACGAAACAGGTTGCCCAGAGAAGCTGTGGCTGCCCCATCCCTGGAGGGGTTCAAGACCAGGCTGGATGGGGCTTTGAGCAACCTGGTCTGGTGGGAGGTGTCCCTGCCCATGCCAGGGGGGTTGGAACTGGATGAGCTTTAAGGTCCCTTCCAACTCTAACCATTCTATGGTTCCATAAAAAAACTCCAAAACAAACCAAAACCAAACACAACAAAACCCAGGGAAATTAAAAAAACCAACCAACCAAACAAACAAAACAAGGACAAAAACCCCAAACAAACAGAAAAACCCAAACCAAAACCCAACAAACAAGTTCACAAGGGGGGAATCTCCCTGTTCTTAAGTAGGGAGCTACCTAAACAGAAAGACGTGCTTGGGTAGGATGCAAGTTCAAGGTTTGTTGTAACATAAATGTAGGGGTTTTTTGTTTGGAATTAGGTGTGCTCATGTCCCTGTATAGGAAGGCTTTTATATGAAGGAACAAGGGGCCAGAATCAAGGCTGAATAAGCTCAATTGACATTAATATTTTATGTAATTGGGTAAGGGAAATTTAATCTTTCCAACAACCTGTCACCTGACCAGCCGCGTAGCACACAGTCACTACACCAAGGGGAGGAGGTGGCTGGGAAGCTTCTTTTGATATTCAGCTACATTTTGCCATTGAACACAAATCCAGATTGCCAACATAAAACTCTGAGAGCTAAATGGTGCAATGTTTAAGGGGTTACTTCACGCTCGGGTGTTCTGGGAGCATTTGGAGCTTGGATATGGGCAGATATGGCCACATATGGGGGAAAGGCAGTCTTTGGTGCATGGGTCTGAGTATCTCAATAATTGGAGCCCCGTGGTACTCCACGGCCTCTCAAGGTTGGGAACTGCAAACAGCCAACCCCTGGTTGGGCTGGGGCCAAAAAGCGTCATTTTAAAGGAATTGGCGCTGTGATTTGTTAATTAAATCACACCCACGCACCGAAATCCGCGGGCCAACCAACAAAACAAATAACGACGCGGAACTTCCCCTGCGCAGGGCTTTTCTCGCCGCTTTAGCTGGAGTGGAAAGGGTGCTAGAGCATAGTGTGTCTGTACGGGGTTGACAAATATTTTTCTAAGTTTGGACTAGGAGGGTTTCTTGCAAACCGCCCACTCTCCTCGCTGGGTCGGGGTGGGCAGGAGCCAGCTGGCCCCAGTCCAGGGAACCGGTGTGCCGGGTCAAGCAGGAGATGCTCTGATTCAGCGGAGCTGGTGGTACAGCTCGGCTCCCTTCATTATCCTCGCCACCAATACAAACAAGGGGGTGAGGTGGACGAGAAGCTGGACATGAGCAGGCAGTGTGCAGCTGCAGCCCAGAAGGCCAATCGCATGCTGGGCTGCATCAAAAGAAGCGTTGCCAGCAGGTCCAGAGAGGTGATTCTGCCACTTTACTCTGCTCTGGTGAGACCTCACCTGGAGTATTGTGTGCAGGTCTGGAGCCCTCAATACAAGAAGGACATGGACCTGATGGAGAGGGTCCAGAGGAGGGCCACAAGGATGATCAAGGGGATGGAGCACCTCTGCTACAAGGACAGGCTGAAGGAACTGGGGTTGTTCAGCCTGGAGAAGAGGAGGCTCCGGGGAGACCTAATAGCAGCCTTCCAGTACCTGAAGGGAGCCTACAGGAAGGCTGGGGAGAACCTGTTTAGAAAGGCCTGTAGTGACAGGACGAGGGGAAATGGCTTCAAGCTGGAGGGGAACAGATTTAGATTGGAGATTAGAAGGGGGTTCTTTACTGTGAGGGTAGTGGAGCACTGGAACAGGTTGCCCAGGGAGGTGGTTGAGGCCCCATCCCTGGAGATATTCAAGGAGAGGCTCGACGAGGCCCTGGGCAACCTGGTCTAGTTGGGGGTGTCCCTGCTGACTGCGGGGAGGTCGGACTAGATGACCCTTGGAGGTCCCTTCCGGCCTGGGAAATTCTATGATTCTATGATTCTTACTTACCTCCTATGGCAAAAAAACTCCCTCTTTGGGTACTGGGTACGCTGGGCTGGCAGCGGGTTGGTTCCAGCCACGTTGAGCTTGGACCATGCTGGGGAAGGGGATTGCTGCTCTCGTAGCTGTCTGGTTTAGCCAGCTCCCTAAGAGTAAGTTTGGGCAGCTGAATAGTGCTGTTGAGTTGATAGAGCTGCTCACGTGCTTGGCATCAGCTTTCCAAGGTCTTGTTGAACCAGAGATGATGGGTGTTGCATCTTTGGAGAGGGACCCTTTATGAGGGACTGTAGTAATAGGACGTAGGGGTAATGGTTTTAAACTGAAAGAGGAGAGATTTAGATTAGATATTAGGAGGAAATTCTTGACTGTGAGGGTGGTGAGACACTGGAACAGGTTGCCCAAAGAAGTTGTGGATGCCCCATCCCTGGAGGTGTTCAAGACCAGGCTGGATGGGGCTTTGAGCAACCTGGTCTGGTGGGAGGTGTCCCTGCCCATGGCAGGGGGGTTGGAACTCGATGGTCTTTAAGGTCCCTTCCAACCCAAACCATTCTGTGATCTTGGGTTTTGGTGCGTGATTTTTTCTCTTCTGAAGTTTCCTTTGCACTGTCGCTTTGCCAAAAATGGGTTTATTTTGGGAAGTGCAAGTGTAAATTGAGGCTACCAAGTATTACTGTATTAAGAAGACTATAAAGGAAGGTTGATTCATCAATTTCTTGATCTTCTTTACTCCATTTGCTTAGGATGTTTGATTTTTCTATTACCAGTAAAAAAAACCCAGGAGCTTCTTATTTCAGAAGGGGCTATGAACACTCCCTTATTACTAGTGAAATGTAATGTATGCTTTAACGAGCAAAATAGCTACTATCTGCCCAAAACACATATATTCATTGTGCAATCAGTACTTTCATACGTAAAATTAATCCTTAAATGGTGCCAGGAGTATTAAAGTGTGTAATTGTTATTATTTAAATGCCTTGAATTTATTTGGAACAGTCACATTTTTCTTGTATATATTTTCATTTTGTTTTCATAATCTACACTTTTGAGACACCCAGCAGTTACGCTATATACGGTTATACACGTCTTAGCTGCTTTTTAATTTATTCCTGTATAATCCAGCATTATTAAATTCTGTGGACTAAGGAACTGATCTTGTTCATTAAAATCAATAGATGCAGTGTTGCATAGATGTGTGTGTGGTGTGGTGCTTTTTGTGTTATTTCTTTGTAAGATCCATCCTTCAGCGTGTAGCCAACTGATGGATAAAGGGTCTGATCCTTTAGGCTTTACTCGGGGAAATATCCACTGATGTCAATGCCTGAATAGGATCAGTCTCTTAAAAGGAAAAGTTTATTTGAAATTGCTCTAGCTATTATTATTTCCTTCTGGAGAAAAATAATCTTACTCATCCAAGCTTTAGAAATAGCATCAAGAAAGCCAAGTTCAGCAGGTCTTTCAACCATGAGATGTCAGCCATTGCTGTTTCAAAGCGTAGCCCGGTAGATACCAACAACCGCTCAACCATCTCTTTTCTTTCTCATCTTTATTTATTTATTTTTGTGCTCCCAACTCTTATTGGCATCTAAAATCACTAATCTCTACCCATTACCGTTTTTGCTAATTTACAGTGATAACTGTGGCTCTGTTTTCATTAGGAGATGAAAGCCGGGAAATTAAAAAACAAATTACAGGGATGAGAAGATTACTGAATGACAGCACTGGAAGAATCTATCAACGAGTTGGCAAAGAAGGAGAAAAACTGAAGGAGGAGCCCCAAGATTTAGACTTAGCTTGGGCCCAGCGCCTGAACCCCCCTGCGGAGTCCCAGGCGAGCCTTCATCCTTCACAGAGTGGCACGTGGAATGAATTATCACCCCAAGCGAGCCATTTTCCAGGGCAATATGGAACTCGGTCCAAAACGTTCCAAAATCAAACGCGAACCGTGGCATCCAATGGTATGATCTGCACTAGATACTGAGAACAGTACTACTTTTTTTTTTTTTTTTTTCCTCTCTCCTCGTAATGTACTAAATTTCTGCCTTTGTTGTGATGATTTATTGTGCTGCTGCACTGAAATCAGTTATAGTTCAGCGTCTACAAAATGAGCACATAGTTATCACTTTGAAAAGGTGCGAAAGTGGGCACAGTGCATTCTGCTACCATCTGTCTTAGCTTTTAAAATGGATTCCTGGTGATAGGACAGAATTACTCAATGCTGTTACAGGCTTAATTTCTATACAGTACTTATTAAAACAGCTTTTGCCATTGTTATTAAATTCATCGCTAATTAAATGTCAATTTTTTTTTTTTTTTTTCTCCTCTCTCCTCGTAATGTACTAAATTTCTGCCTTTGTTGTGATGATTTATTGTGCTGCTGCACTGAAATCAGTTATAGTTCAGCGTCTACAAAATGAGCACATAGTTATCACTTTGAAAAGGTGCGAAAGTGGGCACAGTGCATTCTGCTACCATCTGTCTTAGCTTTTAAAATGGATTCCTGGTGATAGGACAGAATTACTCAATGCTGTTACAGGCTTAATTTCTATACAGTACTTATTAAAACAGCTTTTGCCATTGTTATTAAATTCATCGCTAATTAAATGTCAACCTCTACCACTCCTCTTTGCAATGAGTAATGTAGCACTGTTGTGACACCACTTGCGGAGCAGGATTCTTCTGACTTTCATAAGAGGATGGCATCAGCCTTATAACTGGCCACTGAACTTCAGGTACAAATTTTCCATCACAGCCTTAAGCTTTTATTCTGATGGTACCATCAGAGGAAAGAGCTGATGGAGTCTTACCTCTGAACAGCGTGTAGTAGAGAGTGGTCCATCTTGTGCTGGCAGAGGATTCTGCCCTGAAGTAGATGACAATGTGCCCTAAATATGCTTTTCTCTTGTTAAGTCCCAGAAAATGAAGGGTTTACTGTCAGATTCCTGAAGGTCTTCCTTAACGATCTAAATGCAGTTGAGAAAGTTTTTCTCCTGATGTTCAACCCTAAACTTAGAGGGGATTTTATTTTAAAGGAGTACCTCAGTTGTAAATGCTGGGAAATAAAAAATAGTGAGATTTCATCTGAGAAGATTATCTATGTCCAATTTCCAGTTGATTCCGAAGGTTTTCATGCTTCCCAATAAGGGCATCTGCTGTGTGTCCTTCTCTAAAGGCTTACAAGTTCTCATTGCTTGTAACACATTAAGAAGAAGCCAACTATTATTATTCTTAGTAGTGTTACTTTGCTAAAAATTATACAGCCCTGAGTTTCACCAGATTGACTGTTTCTCTGCAGAGGCAATGATTGACACAGATGTACCGGGTGACCTGGAGAAAGGTGTTGCAGTAGGTCACGCTAGTTTTATTTCTTTTATGATACAAAACAGTAGTCGTGAGGCTTTTTTGAAAGATGCAGGTTCAGAGGAGAGGGGAAAACACGTCATGGGAGTTAGCATCCAAGTCTAAATCCATGCTCTCAAAATCCCACCGTAACAACCTTTTAAATGTAGCAGGACCCGAAATTCCTCGCACGTCTCCCTCTTTGCCCTGAGAGTCCCTGGGCACCAGCGGGGACAGTTCTCTGCATGCAAAGGAGTGCCCAAGCCTGCACAGATTAGGTGCCTAGGTTCCTGGATCCAGAAAGTAGGTGGAGCAGCACCTCTGTGCCCTCGGGGGCCTGATTCAGCATGTGAGCTAAAACGTGTTGACAGGATTTGGCCCCGCGTGCGAGAAAATGTCAGCGTTTTAATTTCTCCTACAAGGAGGGAAGGTTTGGCTGATTTATGATCTCCTACAGGTTAGAACAGTGTGTGAGACAGTAGAAGGGTTGGGTTGAGCGACCTCTGGGCCGGTCAGGAGGAACGTCCAAGCTCCCAGCTCCTGTGCACCAGGAGGCACCTTCCGCCCCTCCCTCGGCAGCTCTCCTACTGCAGAAAGGAATGCGGTCTTTTGGGTTATTACATAAAGATGGGTGTGGGCCCTCTCCTCTGGCCACCTTTGAAAAGATGACATGTGTAGCTCTTTGAGAGCAAGATTTCAGGTGTTGTGGTCCTGCCGGACAGTTTTGCTGCTTTGGCTCCAAAGCCCGGTTTCTAGGAAAGGAAAACTTTTGATGCGTTTCTGGGCTGTGAGCAAGCTCTGAAACTGCTCCTCACCCAGCACACAGCTCTTCTGGGTGGCTGTTCTAACATGCCCAGTTGTCCCCATCCCTTGCATTGGGAGCCTGAGTATCTAACTCGGTATTTTAGATGTTATTCGGAGGATGGACAAAGTCCTTAAAAGCTGGGTGTAGAAATGCAATCAAATGTCAAAGGAGATATTACTCCTTGGTACCTACTATGGCGTTTAAACTGTTTGGGCAGGATGTAAGCTTCTTACCCGAGGCTGTCAAGCCTAGGTCATCACTGAGGACATGTCCAGGCGTCTAGAGCAGGTGGTCTGAGTCCAGAAGCTGTTTCTGTTGGATAGATAGCATATAGGAAGCCAAGATATATGTTGTAGGCTGTGTGAATTACTCAAATTTGAATGTAATAGGCATCTAAGTCAATCTTTTTAGCATAGTTATCGACTTGCATGGTAGAGGTGGGTCAAGGAGAGGCTGGAGAGGTGCTGGTGTAGAAAGTCGTCATGAAAAAGGTATTGGCAGAGACAGAGAGAAGAGGAAATTCAGCAGCGGTGCAGCAGCTGAACTGCTTTTTGGTTATGTCAAGATCATTTTCAATGGGTTGCAATTGCAGGCTTTTCACGTGTAGACCGGTGGTAGCAGTGTTACACTTGGTGAGTTCACTCCCAGCAGATCCAGCTGCAAGAACCACTGTCCTGGGCTTACACGCCGCTCGCATGGGGGAAGCAACTAATGTATTTGTGTCGTCTCCTCTCAATCATGGGAGCTGGTATCAAATTTGCCTGCTGGCTAGCTTCCAAAAGAGAGGGAGATGGCTCTTTAAAGACTCCTTCATAAAAATAAAAAGTCTGCTCTCCTTTTAAAATTAAAAATTGATTTATAACAAGTTGAAAAGGGTTGCTTTTGTCCTCTAAAAATGATAAAGATAGTGCTTGGAACAATGACTGAAAACACTCTACAAGATGTTTCTTACAACGGAGTAACTGATCAGAAGAGGGAGGATAGAAAGAAAATAAAAAACCCTCATGAATATGAATGAAGTCAGTAGAACCCTGCTTTGATTTGAAATATTGGTGGTCTCTTTTCCCATTTCCAGTACCTATGGTAGATTTACATGGGTAATTTCTATCAATGCTAATGGGGATTATAATGTAAATCCCCCATGCCTCAATGGGAAAACAGACCCTTTGGTTTTCCATCAGGAGCCTGCGTGCTTTCGTTAGGAATGTGTTATATTGCAACAGGAAAGATGTACAGGTATTTACTGATACAATTTGCCCAAGTTTCCACATGCAATTCACCACGATGTAGAGTCTTTGTTAAGAAGGAAACAAAAGCCACCAGCCCTGTCTCGCTGTCGTCTTTCAGATGTTATTTCCAGAAGCCCACTAGAATATTGGATTCTGATCAAGAGAAAGGACAGCCTTTATCCCAAGGAGCTTATTAGTCTAAAACAACTGAGAAAGCACAGGAGGAAAGATGTTCTTACTATGTATTTTTCTTCTATTAATAAAAGTCTCCTGATTTCCCGGGACTCCATTTCTGGGGTACCTGCTTGTCTCACTGAAAGATGTGGAGTTACGCTGATGCTATTAAATTATAAGTAGTCTTGAACCTCATCTACTTAAAAGTCTACCTTTTGCAAGTAGGTAAAGGGTATTGGTGGAGCCAAGTTGAGGGATTCTGAGTAATCTCCCACAAAGCTAAAGATAATATTATTTTTTTCCCCTCTGTACCTGTAACAATGGGCTAAATGCTTTATGGACCATTGAAAAGATAAAATCCCATCCATGCCCCAAGGAAATTTCAGTCTGAATAGACAGTGTACAAAGGAAGGGTGAGATCAAGGTAGGCAGAGTCCTGCTGAGTCAGTAACCTGCTTTTTTGTTTAAATTTGAGACTCTCAGCCTGCTTTTCAGATGGCTTTTAAGAAGTTGATGTGGTTACAGGTGAAGAAGCTGGTGGAACTATGGCATTCGTGTTTGTTAGATTTACAGAGATTTTTAGCTTACTCCATTTATCCTGATGCAGTATTACCAGTTTCTGGCCATGGATGATATTTTAAAATACCAAAATTTGTAATTGCAGTAGTGTGGACAGTCTAAATATCTGAGGAAGGGAGGAGAGTGACATCCAGATGATGTCAGCAATCTTGAAGTGGCGCATCAGTTTAGCTTCACAAGTCACTCACTTCTGGGAGGATGACCACCAGTTTACTCAAGCCTCATAGATGTTGCTTCAGAGCTGGAGGGCTGAATGGAAGGAGGTAGAGAAGAAGTACCTGGGAAGGGAGTTTTGAGGATGGAGGGACACATTGGAAGAACTAGGAAAGGGTGGGATTTTCAGCCATTTCCAATGAGGGTTGAAGTCAGGGGATCTGTGTGGGTTCTGACATCAGGGGAGCTCTGATGAGAGAACGCAAACCAAACTTGCAAAAGTATTAATTTGGTTTGGTTTCAGAGGAAAGCCAAAGTAATAGTGAAAAATGGGAGGATTTATGAGCAGAGATTAAATGAGTTGCTTATGTTCACTTTAGGTAGGTAATGATTAAAGGGCACCTGATAACTGTCAGGCTGTGGAAGAAAAAGGGAAATACACTCTCTGAAGTCCACCACGTGTCACCAAGCGAGATGATTTTTGTTAGATCCATTTGTACCTGTCTTCACAAAATGATCATCCCTCCTTTTGCATGCTTTGATGAGCAGTAAAATAGCCATCAATTTAAATGACTGTAAGCACATTTTGAAATGAAGGGGGGTGCATCCTCTCTGGCCTCAGTTTCAAGCAGATACTGCTAGGTGTTCTGTGGAATTTTTGAAATTTTTATTTGCAGTGTTACAGCTAGGGATACAGCTATTTTAAACTAAAGCACAGGTTACAACTGTTCAGGTAAAGCTTTAAAATCCTGAACTGTTACAGCCTGCACTAATTCCAGACCTACAGCGCAAAACTTCTAGAAAGCAAGGCTGTAATAAAAGCACTACAAGGGGCTGGAACTAAATGTTAATCTAGTTAAACACTGGTCAGAATTACTAGAAAAGAAGAATCTGTTAAACTATTGTATTAATTTTCAAAGGGAAACTATGAAAAGCCCATCTCATAGGTCAGAGTGCTGGAAAACACACCATAGAGGGCAATGCCACCCTAGCAAGCAGAAGAGCAGATTTGAAGGCTTTCCTTGCTGGCGATTCTTTTCTATCCTGTTTTTTGGGGTTTTATTCTCCAGATAAGGGATTTTATTTTCCTTCTCAATTCTTTACATGGTAAAGAATGGCATGTAACATTCAAGCAGTTGAAAAATTCTGAGACCCTCATTTAATGTGCAGTATAAACCCTTATTACGCAGACTGTCTTCATTCTTTGTAAGGCTGTTCCGGGAGATGGGCTTTTTTTTCTGTGTGTGTATGTGTGTGTGATAAAGTGAGTATGTTTATAATGAGGTTTGGTGCTATTGTTATTCAAGATGAACTAGCCTGACAATAGAGAGCCCTGCTGCGAAGAGTGCATTGTATTCACGCTCCGAGCAGTCTTCTCCAGCCCATGTAACGTTGCATCCCCTACTGTATATAATTGCACGTGCTAGTAGTTGGATAAAACCTAGTGGCTCCTTCCTCTTAAAAGAGATCGTGTTGAAAATTACTTGTTTTCTTGCTTTGGATCTAATTTCATGATCGGGTATATCAATAATAGTTTCAGTATTCGTATGTTGAATTATATGAGTATATCAATAGTAGGAATATCAATAATAGCCTGCTGGTAATTGTTGTTTGGGCTTTTTTTTTTGTGTGGGTTACATCGTCTCTCCCCGTTTCATTCCTCTCAGGAGAAATCCCAATGGTGAACTCCTCAATTGGACCAAACTGCTGTACGTGTAACTGCCAGTCGACCCTGCAGGCTATTCTTCAAGAGCTCAAGACCATGCGAAAGCTCATGCAGATTCAAGCAGGTATTGTGACCGGTCCCATGGATGTGTATGCATGACAGGCATCTCCTTGAAGATGTCCCAGCTCATTGCAGGGGGGTGTACTAGATGATCTTGCAGGTCTGGAGCCCTCAGTATAGGAAAGATATGGACCTGATGGAGCGGGTCCAGAGGAGGGCCACTAAAATGATCAGGGGGTTGGAGCACCTCTGCTATGAGGACAGGCTGAGGGAGCTGGGGTTGTTCAGCCTGGAGAAGAGGAGGCTCCGGGGAGACCTAATAGCAGCCTTCCAGTACCTGAAGGGAGCCTACAGGAAGGCTGGGGAGAGCCTGTTTACAAAGGCCTGTAGTGACAGGACGAGGGGCAATGGCTTTAAGCTGGAGGGGAACAGATTTAGATTGGAGGTTAAGAGAAAGTTCTTTACTGTGAGGGTGGTGGAGCACTGGAACAGGTTGCCCAGGGAGGTGGTTGAGGCCCCATCCCCGGAGATATTCAAGGTGAGGCTCGATGAGGCCCTGGGCAACCTGGTCTAGTTGGGGGTGTCCCTGCTGACTGCGGGGAGGTCGGACTAGATGACCTTTGGAGGTCCCTTCCGGCCTAGACAATTCTATGATTCTATGATCTTTAGGGTCTCTTCAAACCCAAACTATTCAATGATTCCACATTCTTGTTAGAAGGAATGGTCTAGTAAGACAGAAATCTATGTGGATACTCAGGAAAACCTGACTGTTTCCTTCTCTCTTAAACATATCATTCAACGTCAAATTTTCACAGGCTTTTTGGATGTGCAATTTTTACTTCTCAGATCCTTACCTGTAACATGGGATGTTACCTTGTAGGAATCTTTTCAGGCTAACTTAAAAAAAAAAAATCTAACGTGATTAGATACTCTGTTAATAACTGAGTGGGTAGCTCCATATGCCATAACCACCTCCAGTTTGTTGCCACGGTGTATTCATTCAGAGGTGCAAAATGCTACTTAACCTGTTACCAGCTTACCAGTTCACTAATCTCAGTGGTTAAAAAAAGTAATAATAAGGCCACTTAAAGTTACTATATAAACACTTCATTCAAAGATCTTTCAAATTACAGCTCCGTGGTAGCCTCAGCTGAGCTAGCCACCGCGTGTTGTGGCCTCCACCCTTCTTTAGGCTGGTTTACCAGTTCTTTTTTACTGGCTAAACCAGTAATAATCTGTTCATTGGGGAAAACTATCTGGGCTAGTTTTCTGCTAGGTTGGGAGCTGCTCAGAGCCAGAAGAGCACTAGAGCCAGCAAGATAACGAGACAGTGGCAGCAGGGAGTTAGGTAGGTCATGGTAGGCTGCCGGGAAGCCACAGCCTCCGTGCTTCATAAAAATTAGCGTTAATACTAACGAGGAGTTGGAGACGTTGGAGATTTTGTCGGTTGAGTTACCCATCCATCATGAGTGATGGGGAGCAGAGCCATGGAGATTTTTTTTTTTCTCTTAGAGCGGCTGTATAAGACCTCTGTAAGAAAAGGGAGTGTTGAGTAATTAACTGAAATATGGGTGGAGTGAAACGCTGACGAAACTCCTTGTCTCCACGGCTTATAACGCTTGAGTGAGCAACGGGAAGGATCAGACGGGTTTTGTAATATCAGTTGATACACATAAAAATGCTTTTCCAAAAGTCATCGATGTACAAAGAAGCCCACGAAGGCCCAGTTTTACAGTCTCTGCTGGGGCAGGGCGTTCTTTGCGCGGTTGCACCTATTTCCTTGAAATTCTGCCCATGATTAAAAATGACTTGTGGGTGAGAGGTACAGAACGGGGCTTTATGCCAAAAGAGCTGGTTCCTCAATAGCAGGAATATTTCTTATTCGTTATGGATCTACAGTATTAGTGCCTTGTTAATTAGTGACTCTCTTGATTCTCTGGGAATAGTTCATAGTTCATATTTTCTGAAATGATGGGTTTGCAGAGGAAAAAAAAACGTGTTTGGCATTTTTGTTGCTAAAAGAGAAAAAACTAAAATGCAAACATATAAGCAAAAAGGTAATAACTGATTTTAGTATTCAGACACCCTTCTGTCTAAATGATAAACTACAAATTACAGTCTCGTAAATCCTTGCCAGAAATCAAATACCCCAGAAATCATTTAATAAACAGTATGAGATTTGGGTTTATTTTCCTCAAGCGTTGTAGGTGAGGACCACGTGTAGTTCATTTGTAGCTTGAATGAGCTTGATTTGCATATGATGAAGCAAAAATATGTAGCTCATTTGGCTTTTTTTTTGTTTTGACCTTGATCTTACTGATTCGTACAGACAAATAATTGTCTCTGGATAGTATTCTGCATTGATACAGGTTCAGGATCAGTGCCTTAATTTATACCAATTATTGTGGATACCGGAAAATGCAAAATATTGATAAATATAAAACATGGTCTCTTAGGTTTGAGACATAACACATGAAATGTCATCTTCTGTGTATGAACAAAACGAAGTGATGCAACTTTGGGGTTACTTTTTTTCCCAGAAATTAAACTATTGAATAGTGTTTTCACTTGTTCTTGACATAATGGTACTTGAAGTGTTCTTGCTGAGCTAATTAACTTGGTAACTATGTTCATAAAAATAACTGTAATTGCATTAGCACTTGTGTTATCTTACTTTTATCAGGAAAAGATGCTCAAAGACAATGAGGTTCTCAGTCATTCAAGAGGATATACAAATTAATCATTGCTTAAGTCCTCCTTGTCACCAACCAGCCAGTGGTCACTAGGAAAAAAGAACCACGTTTTCCTAATTTTCCTAAAACGCTATTCATCAGTATGTCTTGAAGAACCTCATAATGGAGTTCAGTGTCATTATCCCCATTGGTACAGATTGGAAAATTATGCAAAGGTGATAAAATATAACTGTTTCACATGCACAAACAGCCCTGAAAACCGTTCCACTTACCCAGAAGACAGGTTCAGTATGTTGGTAGTTTAATGCAGTGTCTGTGTGGTTGGACATGTGCTTTTTTCTATACGTTTAATTCAATACTTTCTTTCATTCAGTTGGGACTCAAAACAGACAGCAGCCTCCTGTTCCCCTCATTTGCACGCAGAAGTCAACAATATCAAGAAAGAGAAATAAAAAGAAAAAACTGCCCCTCAAAACTGTTGAACCAATTCCCATGAATAAGAAACCCAACGCTGCGGAGAACGAGAGGAAGCTATCGGCAAACTCAGAACGGTCGAGTCCGCAAGCAGTTGAACCCCCCTTAAAACCAGAAACCCCTGTTTCAGGATTTGGAATTATCCTTGAATCTGCTTCATCAGATGTAAGTTAATATTTTAATACCCGGCATCACGGGATTTTCAAGCAGTTGCTCATTCAGGAGGATCAGCGCCCAAGTCAGCTTGCGCGTGGTCCCTCTTCTGGTTAGAGCAAACAAGCAAATCTCGGGTAGGGTTGAACGGAGGCAGCAGGATTAAATCTGGGGAGTGTGGACTATGAAGTTTTGGGGTTTTTTTTCCTAACTCATTGCTAATCACAACATTTTGGGGTGGTTTATTTCAACGCAAATCTCGGGTAGGGTTGAACGGAGGCAGCAGGATTAAATCTGGGGAGTGTGGACTATGAAGTTTTGGGTTGTTTTTTTTCCAACTGATTGCTGATCACAACATTTTGGGGTGGTTTATTTCAACTTCCGTGAGCATGTAGTTCTGCCTTGAGTTGAAGGCTGCCTGTCGCTTGAGCTCATAGTGGAAACCTGTTCTTCATCCCTCCTGTTGCCAAGCCCCACCATGAGACCAGGCGCCATGAAGAGCACTGCGTGTATAAACCCTTCACAACCCTCTCGTTTGCTGATGAGCACACGTAGTCCACACGTACGCCCTTATCCTGCCAAAATGCATTTACGTGCTGTGCTTCATGCCTGGCTGGTCCCCCTGGCTTCAGGGGACTCCTCACCTCCAGAAAGTTCATACCTCAGTCTTTGCTGAATCGGGTCGTTTGCTCTCCATCGCTGTGGTTGCTGGGTGAGGGCCTTGATGCTGTTGATGATGTTGGTGTGTCTAAAGGGGCCAAAATTCACCACTCTGAAAATGCTGATGAGCACACGTAGTCCACACGTACGCCCTTATCCTGCCAAAATGCATTTACGTGCTGTGCTTCATGCCTGGCTGGTCCCCCTGGCTTCAGGGGACTCCTCACCTCCAGAAAGTTCATACCTCAGTCTTTGCTGAATCGGGTCGTTTGCTCTCCATCGCTGTGGTTGCTGGGTGAGGGCCTTGATGCTGTTGATGATGTTGGTGTGTCTAAAGGGGCCAAAATTCACCACTCTGAAAATATGTACTCATCACATGTAGAACTACAATAAGCATATTTTCTTGATTCATGCAACACGTACGCATTGATAGAAATATCATGTGTCTGCTGGCTGATTGGCTTTGTTTAATGACCAAATAGATGTCGTCTGAACCAGTTCACTGATGAATAAACTAGTCATTAATTTCTCTAATATATTTTTAATTTTGAGCCGGCAGTTTCCAATTTCCTAAGTACTATGAGCTAGAAAAGCATAATTAAATTCAGTATCAATAAGCGTAAATGAAAACAATGCCACAGATAATGTTCTACCTTTCTGGAAGTGGGAACTAATAATAAAAAAGAGCAGTCCTGATAATTCAGTTATATAGATGCAAGCCACACCACTAATTAGATTGCAGTCTCATGCCATAGAGTCGGTGTAGTGATACGGAGTAACTAGTTTGATGCTTTTTCAGAGGTTTTCCTTTTGTAGTATTATTCTTAATAATGTTTGAGGGCATGGTTTGGGGAGGGACTGGTAATTTATCTCCAATACGCAATTTGTGCTTATAATTTTTCTTTGCTCGTGGCACTCTTTTCAGCTTGAAACACAGTTTCGAAAACAGTTTTGTTCTTGTGATGGAATTTAATTTGTCTTTATGAATGTGTTCCATGGCTGGACACAATTCTTCCTAAGTGCCAATTTGGCCTAAGCAAAAAAAGAAGAGAAAACATGCAGTTCATAAATCAGGTCCTCATCTGCCCTCCCATGCTTTGGCCCCTGCCTGACACAGTAGTTGTTTGAATAAATTTACAGAGCCGGAACCCTGAGACAAACCAATTGATGTTGTTTTGTCTTTGAAAAGAAAACATTTGAGTTCAGAAAATAGATATATTTAACAGCGAAAATAAAATGTGACCTTAAACATTTTGAGAAGGCTAAAGAAAGTCACTTCTTGCAGAATGAATGGGGGTATTATCTTTTCCCTATTTATTCATAAGCATCTCTAGTGTGTTCACGACTGGCGTCTCTGGGTGCCTGAAAAAAACTGAAAGACATTTTAAGCAGCACCATAAATGAATGTTCCCTTGAGAATCTTGCCCGGGTTGTCTGTGGTGTGTGCCGTGTCGTACGCCAGCGCTGCCACCCCTGCTGTTTTGCTAATGTTTATTGAACTTTAAGAAAAATCTGAGTTTAATGTGTATGAAATTGGGGCTGCCAAAACCAGTGTGATTAGTTCAGATTTGCTGAGATGAGGACGTGGAGGTGGAAAAAAAAATCTATGTGAGATCAACCCTTAATCTGACCCATGGATCAGAGACCCTACTTTTTAAATGTAATGATCTGTTACGCTTAGTTAAACTTTCTTGTGTTTGTTTTACTGTTATCATATTTCATTTATAACCTAATTATTTGTAATCTATGTAGTACGGTCTACTAAAATGTCTAGGATTTTTTCGCTGCCTGTTAATTTTAACACAGCAAAAGCCTTTAACATTCAAGTCTTATTTAATTTATTGTACAGGAATAGTTTACCCACCAATTCCTTGGGCCATGATTATTGCCTACTAACAAATGCTTTTCCTTTTGAGAAATAGCATTCAAAGTGATCATAAAGTTCAATTAGGTACTGATTGATTCTCTTTGATTGAAGAATAGTTTGCTACCAAAGGAAAGCAAGAATAAATCAGTGTTTTCCCTTCAAATCATTTCACTGATACACAAATTGATTCATGTATTAAGAATGAAATAGTCAAAAACTAAAGCAATATTCACTCCTCCATGCTGGTGAGGTTTCAAATGTATTTCACAGCTGTGTTAGTGAAGATCATTTGTCTGTCCTAGGCGTCTTGTATCATTGAGGTCATCTTAGATTGCTATCGTAAGACCCGAGACCCAAGTAAGAGAATAGGACAGGATACCTTCATCTCCATGACAACCACATTCTGGTTTTTGATTAACACGAAGTAGAATTTTTCCCGAGTTGTAAACTTGGCCCACATTTATTTACACTTGAAAATCTTTTCTGTCACCAGAAAGTTTAGAAGTAACATATTAAAAACCCACCTACATCAGAAGATTGTCAAATGTCAAATAGAGTAATTCTGACTGTTTTGCTGAATCCAGCATTTTGAAAGTTCTCAAGGTAAAACAAAAACAAACAACTTTTCATCCAGAACAAGCTGAGAAACTTACGTGCTTTTTTAGATTTATCTTTTTTTTTATTACTATCTGCATATTTTAAGATTCTTCATCCTGGCTTCCCAAAGCATTGTAATCTTCAGTTTTATCGCACAATACGCCTGTGTATCCAGTGACACTGCATGCTTTGAAAATATCCTGCTTGCTGTAACTCTCTTGATAGTGATTTTTAAAAATCCAGGGGAAAAGAGTTACACAGCCAAATCCTTCTGGGAATGGCAGCCCTTTCTTCTGTCTAGACTCAAGACGTTTGCAGGTGATTTGATGGGAGATGGCATTTGCTCTTGCTCTGTAAACATCTTCGAAAAGGCACCATCACTGGTGGATGTATTTTCATTAGGGAGGAAAAAAGAGCAAGTTATTAGGAGCAAGGCCATAATGTTAGCTTATTTTCTTACATCATGACCACTGATTTTTTCCCCCTTTGCCAACTCGCAGATATTATCTTAAAAATTTTAGTTTATTCATGATGTTATCTTCCTTCTAGATATATAATTATTCCATGGAGACGTCTTGTGTAAGCACTGTGTGGTAATCACAGCAGAAAATACTGCAAATATTGTCTGTGTAATTTCTGATGTGTACAGACAGGGGCAGCAAAAAGATTCTTAGTAAGGGACTTCCTTGAAGGCCTTTGTCTGCTTTGGCCCACGGCGCACTTGAGGCAAGGAAGCTCTTGTGAAATACAGCATGGTTTTATTTCCTCTCACTCGCTAATAATCACCTAAATCCCTGTGATTTACCACTGAGGGTTTTTTTGCACTGAAATAAGCTGTCTGTTTGACATCATCCTTTTTCTAAGGATGTATTTGGGGAATATGAAAAGGAGGGAGGAATGGATGATCAGCAGGCGCTGGCTCCAAAGGCAACCTCAAAACTCATCAACTACTTCTACTCGTACGGGCCGTGTCTGGGCTGGAAGCCCTCTTGGGAAGCCACATGGAATGGGCTGGTAGCCCAGCAGTGATCCTTCTTGGAAGTGCCTGGCTACCCCACAAGCACTCTCCTTCACATCATTTGGCAGTGAAACAAGTCCATAAAACAGTCAGATCAATGTCCAAAAAAGCTTCACGTAAGAGTATTGCTCTGGGATGATCCTCTGGTTTGTCTTTATTATCCAATATTGAAAGGTATCTCTTCTTTTTTTGTTAGCTGTGCGCCTAGAAATAATGCCAGTAATTGTTAACTATTACAGTGGCTAGACAGGAGTATGATTATTTGATTTGCCTTTTAAGGTGCTTATTCACTGATGGGGTTTGATTTCAATGAAGTAGGCTGCTGTGGTAGTGAATAGCTGGGAAAAGATTCATGGTTTGATTAAGTGATTGTAAAGTCTCATCAGGTGCATGATTGAAGTAAAGCAATGTATTTGAATGCTCTTTTAATTAAAACATTTGTGTTCTTTCGGTAGCCAGAAGTGCAACTTGCGGAGGGCTTTGACGTCTTCATGCCGAAATCTCAGCTGGACTCTATATTATCAAACTACACTCGCTCAGGAAGTCTGCTCTTTAGGAAGCTGGTCTGTGCATTTTTTGATGACAAGACTTTGGCTAACTCTTTACCAAACGGCAAAAGGAAAAGAGGGCTCAATGACAACCGGAAAGGACTAGACCAAAATATTGTGGGTGCAATAAAAGGTATGTTTTTTTGGTTTCTTTCATATGTGTAATTAGAGCGTATTCTCAGCTAAGGAGAGTGTAAGGGGATTAGAATTTCTGACATGTGTTAGGTCTATTAAAATATGCAGTCTTATTTTTATTCCCTTTCATTCACTTGTTAAAAATAGCTTCTACGGGGACAGCTTGTGTTAATTTTAAGCCAGTGATCTCGGTTTCTGAAGTCAGGCTCTAAGGTTAGAATCTCAACGTTCGTCTAAGATAATTATTTTTTATTCCGGATGTCAGAGATGCAAAGAAATCTTGAAAACATAATGACAGCGTAACTGATCCTCTTCAGTCAAAATTCTGAGGCTTGCACTGCATCTGACTGTGTCTGCTCTGTAAATACTTGAGTAGTTGGTGGCTGGGTTGGGGGGAGGTGGAGGAAGGTAATACTGGGACTGAGATGAGTTTGATGCTCCTAAGAACTGTGGTGCTGCTTCTCTTATGGGAAGAAAATTCTTAGCCAATGTGAGGATCCTTGTGCTGGGTGGTTTTTCTCAGTGATCATTGCTTTCTAGCTTCCAGAAGAACACATGTACCTTGATGATCGCAACCTATAAAGAGCTAGTATTAGGCCAGAGATTCTGAACTGGATTCTAGTCTTTTGAAATTTGATACAGTAGGAGAAATACCCAAGTTACCAAAAGACAGACTGTGTTGCAAAGTAGACTGTGACTTGTCCTGAGGTTCAGATTGCTAACCTAGGAGACGTAAGGCAATGAGAAGAGCTTCTATAAGAACATTGGCAGCAAAAGGAGGCAGGGGAACCTTTTGCAACCATCTCTATGTCCACTTTGGCCTCTTTCTCCTCCCCGTACAAGAAAGGCCTTGACATACTGGCTTAAGTCCAGTGGAGGCCCACCAAGATTTCTGGTACTGAAGGAGGTAAGTGGTGAAGTATGTATATGAAGTGACATGTGAGGAGAGGCTGAGAGAATGGGAGAGAAGAAGATTCAGGAGACACCTTATTGCTGTCCGCAGCTACCTAATGGGATGGTGTAGAGAAGATGAAGTCAGACTCGTCTCAGGGTACAAGAGGCACTGGACATGTGGAAAGTTTCAACGTGATACAAGGAAAAGTTTTTTCAACATTGGGCTGGTGGAACAGGGGTGCAGAGGGGCTGCACGACCTCCAACCTTGGAATGGTTGCGGTCCAGAGCCTCATGATGTAGTTGGCCATGCTTGCAGCAGTGGGCTGGACATGGAGGACCCTTTCAACCTGTGTGATTCTGCAGTAAAGTATATGTTGTGGCTATGTCATAGTCCTAATACATCTTACAGAGTTTCTGGCAGACTTTTTACAGTTACACTTATAATTAGGTTCCGATCACAAACACTTTTTTATACCTTCTTTTCTTGAGCTCAATAATCTGCAAAAATTCAAAGTTGGATTCACTCTGTCTGTATCTTGTTCTTCCTTAAAAGATTTAATAAATAAGTTAAATGGAAGAAAAAAGGAGTTCAAAATGACTTTAAAAAAAAACTGAAACAAACTCTAATTTGGGCAGCACTGTGATAAAAGAAATGTTTTTCAGTAGATGCAGCAGCACTAATAAAATAGCAATCCTTACCCACTGCAGAGAGCAGTGTTTCTCAATAGCTAAGCTTGTATTACTGGAGGAAATTCTGAGGCTTGGTTTAACCTCTTCCCTTGAGTTTGGGAGAAGAAAGGGGGCAGTTGTAGTTCCAACAGATAAATTTCATCTGTGATGGTACTGCGAGGTACCACTGTAATAAGAGTGATCTTTATTGGCATTTACAGTATTGCCCAAATGCCGGCGCCTGACCCTTGATAAGGGAGCGTGTCCCCAAAAGCTGTGATGGAATAAGATGCCAAAGTCTGATGTCCTGTGGATCTTTACTCAGCCTGGCTCCAATAGCACCCTTCTTCCCTCCAAAGAGCTGGGCTGTCAGATACTGTGGTTTCATTTATTCCAAGAAATAACTGAGCCAGTATGAAACCTCCACCAGAACAACATCATGTTGTTTGCGTTGTTACCATTAGGACATTCCTCTACCACGTGCCCAGATATCCTTTAGTGGCACTTTTAGTCCTTTTCCATGACAGAGATACAAAAGTGGAGAAAAGGCTACATTCATGACAAAAACGAACAAAGAACTTAAAAGGAGGGACTGTTTGCCTGAAAATCGCTCTTCCTGTCTGGAAACATTTTAACTGCTGTCCTCACAAGTAATTTAACGCTTCTGCAACAGGATGATTAGCGAGGGAGAAACCTTCTTTTGACTTTGGGTATTCAATGGCACTTGTTGAATCAGTTGCAGTGTTTCTCCTGGGCAATCAGTTTCCCTTGTGCGTCTCATCAATCTTTTACTCAGAACTGAAGGAAAAAAGATGAAAAAATAAAGATCAGAAGCAGTTATTTCTCCTTTATGTCATTGACTAGAAATCCAGCCAGTGAAGTCCTTCCCTGCTGAAGTCAATGACCTGTGTTCGGAGACATGTGTGAAGCGTCCCTCAGGGGTCCACACTGGGACCTAATTAATATCTTCATCAATGACATAGACAGTGAGATTGAGTGTACCCTCAACAAGTTTGTGGATAATACCAAGCTGAGAAGAGCAGTTGATTTGCCTGAGGGAAGGGATGCCATCCAGAGGGACCTTAACAGGCTGGAGGAGTGGGCCCATGCCTACCTCATGAAGTTCAACAAGGCCAAGTGCAGGGTCCTGGTCCTGGGTCAGGGCAATCCCCATCATCAGTACAGGCTGGGGGATGAAGAGATTGGGAGCAGCCCTGCAGAGAAGGACTTGGGGGTACTGGTGGGTGAAAATGGGTTGTGAGTTTGCAATGTGCACTTGCAGCCCAGAAAGCCAACCATATCCTGGGCTGCGTCACCAGCAGTGTGGCCAACAAATCAAGGGAGGTGATTCTGCCCCTCTACTTCACTTTGGTGAGACCCCACCTGGAGTACTGCATCCAGCTCTGGGGCCCCCAACCTGTTGGAGTGGGTCCAGAGGAGGGCCAAAGGAATGATCAGAGGGATGGAAGAGCTCTCCTATGAGGCTGGGCTGAAAGAGATAGAGTTGTTCAGCCTGGGGAAGAGAAGACTCTCAGGAGATCTTATTGTAGCCTTTCAATACTTAATGGGGGCTTATAAGAAAGATGGGACAAACTTTTTAGTAGGGTCTGTAGTGACAGGAAAAGGGGCAATGGTTTTGAACTGAAAGAGGATAGGTTTAGATTGGACATAAGGAAGACTTTTTTTTACAGTGAGGGTGGTGAGACACTGGCACAGGTTGCCCAGAGGCTGTCCCATCGTTGGAAGTGTTCAAAGTCAGGTTGGATTGGACTTTGAGCAACGTGATCTAGTTAAAGATGTCCCTGCCTATTTCAAGATAATCTTGAAAAGTCCCTTCCAACCCAGCCCATTCTGTGATTCAATGATACAGGAGCTTGTTAGAATCATACAGCTCAGGTGGACTAGAAAGGGCAGGTCCTACTTCCTCCTTCCTCTTATAGCCCCATTCTTTTTGCCCACATTGGTGTTTCACTAACACATTGAGTAATCAAAACGCTCTTGACTTCCATTCAGGAGAAGAATAAGCAAGTTAGAGAAGGAAGTTAATACGTTGAAGTAAACATGAGTCTTAAGTTATTGATCAGGTTCCCATTGTGTCAGACACCGTGTGGATTCAGAAGGGAAAGATGATTTCTGCCTTCAGAGAGCCCGGAATAGTTGCATATCGGACACTGGCAACATGTGGGGCTGTGTTGACTTCTCTGGGAAGCCCTTAGAGATGGTCTGATGTCCTTGCTGATCAGACTGAAGAAGAAAGTATTGCTCATGCCTTTCACGCAATGGTTTGGGGAAGTTGTTAACATGGAATGAGTTTGGAGGGTGTGATTACTTTTGGTCCCTTTATACTTACCAGCTCATGCTGTTTCAAAAACGTGTATAAAAATACTGAAATAGTAATTTTTTGTTGCTTGCTTCCCCATCCCACTCGTGTGACATTTATTCTCAAGAATTACAAACACCTTGAGCTGGGACCAGTTTTCTTTCTTTCTTTGTTTGCCGGCCATAATTGGACACTGGGCTCTGAGACCTCTGACCAAGACTACAATAGCAATACCAACAGTAATAGTATTTTTTCTATTTCTGCTCTAGTTTATTTTTTGCACACATCTCAGTTGCGTGATGAAAATCAATTGAATCAGTTTCACTCCATTTATAATTTTGTATTTCTGAAATAACATTGCTACGTTTGCTGTAAATACGGAATTAAAGATTATGTTGACCCTCTGTACCATTTTTACAAAATATAAAATTGAACCTGCAGGATGGCTTTTTTTTCTCTTAGTAGCTTTATAAAAGTTCTGGTTTGGCAGTATGAGAACTGTAGAGATCTCTGCAGTGGCAGGACTTCTATCTTTCATCAGTTTGCCTGCAGCAAATGCCTGCAGGAACCTGACCGAGAGGTCACCCCATGACCAGATCTTCAGGTCTCTACTTGCACCATACGGAAGGCAGCGTTTAAAAGTGCCTGCCCCATCTGGAGACTCAGTGCAAACTACACTATTCTTTTTCTGTGACGTTTTTATGTGAAATTCATGAATGGAGGACGTCAGGTGTAGATCATTTCTCTGGGATAGGCTTTTATAAGTAGTAACTGGTGTGTTGCTGTGATACCAACAATGGGATACACCCAAATGACTTCTGAACGATAAACTTGTGAATGTGTTGGACTCTGTTCTTGCAGGCCTACATTTAACCATTTAAATGTTTTTTGTTAAATGGATAACTTGATATATTTTGTTTATAATCCTCTCCAGTCTCTTTTTCTCCATTCTGGTGGCACATTTCAAAAAGATGGTATCTTTTTATTTCAGTCTTTACAGAAAAATACTGCACTGCTAACCACGTGGATAAACTTCCTGGTCCTAGAGACTGGGTCCAGATTCTTCAGGATCAAATTAAACTTGCAAGAAGACGATTAAAAAGAGGCTCAGGTATGTATAAAATTATAAGGAACAACATGTGGGTGTAATATTAAAAGCTTAGAACCTTTGTATCCACAGAAGTTGTTTTCTTGTTAACTGTGGAGTCGGTGCGTGTTCACCTTATGAAAATTAGACTTCTTAAGATTTTAGCAGGTTTCTGTGAAAAGTACATTGTTTCCTTGCGTTTGGCGTGGTAGCAAATTCAGGAGCTGCCTTTGCAGCCAAGTTAACTTTGAGTCCTTCTCAAATGTTGTCTCTAACCCCTTTCAATTAGCACCCAAACTCTCCTTTCCCAGTGTTTGATGAAATCTGAGTCCTAAACTAGCCCAAGCCTCAACGTCCAGGGTTGCAGGTAGAAGTCTTTTAATTCTGTGTTATTTGGTCTGACAAGCCGCTCACCGTACTGTTAAGCCCTAACCCAAATGACCTTTTCCTCTAAACTATATGTCTGGAAGGATAGATGAGTTTTCTCACATTCCTTGTGAAGGAATCAGCATCAGTGTAGCGGAAAAAAACAAGCCACCCACCCTGGTTGTGCCAGCAAGGTTCTTCAGTACGTGGGAGGGAGGTTGCCAGCAGTGAGTAGCAGGTAATGTTGGTGGGGTTTGGCAGCAAAACCACTCAATTTGGGCTGGGATAACAGCATGTTTGGGACTGGGATAACCAGTGTGTTTGGGGCTGGGACCAGCCTGGGGGTGAAGGCTCAGCGCTAGGCTTTCACCCCGACAGCAGGCAGCTGGTGAGCTCTCGGCTCCAGCGACGAGAACAGCAACGTGCCGTCTCGAAATCCCCCACAGAATTCGTGGGAAAGCAATATCACTGATTAAGAGACGTGTAATTACTTTATAAACCTTAAGTAGTCTCCTTCCCATCCTGTCCAACAAGGGGCTTTCTTCATACGAGGCTTCAATTACTCTTCCTCGTCCTAGTGGAAGGCTCTCCAGGTCGTATCTCTTGCCCATCTTTCCCTCTGAAGATCTGACACCGTTGTCTGATGCCCATCACTTGTGCCAACCTCCTTAAACACGGTCCTTAACTGCTGCTGTGTTTAGCTGCCTGCCTTTTCCCCTCTTCCCTTCTGCCCGTCACCGCAATTAAGTGCCTGTTAGCATCCGTGGGTTGACAGGATGGGAAACCTGATGGCCCCACAGGGGATGCTGGTGGTCCCCGTGGCTACCAGGAGGGGTGAGTGAGACTACGGGGAATGTCCTCTCCAGCTCCCTGCCTCAGAGAGCCAACGTTTTCTGTCCAGGGCTGTGTCTCTGAAACGCACGCTGAGACTGGCATCTGAAATCATTCTCCAGAGCTCTGTTAATGCCAGGAGGGAAAAGCATAGGACTGAGGAAAATGAGGAACACCCAGAGACAGAAATAACACAGGGGGAGGAAAAAAAATGCAGATTATTCAGTCTCGTAAGCTTCCCTGAGTAGAGCAGCAAACCAGCACTAGCCTTAAAAAGGGTTTCTTAGGCGTGTTGGGGGAGGGAGGAGGGAGGGATCCAAAATAATCTTGTTAAACACAATGTCAGATTACTGGTGGTGTACAAGGGGACTGCTTTCTGCCCCTTCCGAGGCTGCTTTTCGTCCCCCCCCAGGACAGGAGGGTGGAAGTGGGACACCAGGCTTCCACACATTGTAGAGTGCAGCGCGGGATGTGGGGAGCAGAGGGTCCTTGGGCTGTCTGCAGAAGATCCCTTGGGAAAGAGGATTGACCTAATTTTGTTTTGATTTTTATTTTCTTTCATCCTTTTTTTTTTATTTGCTTTTCTTCCTGCCTCTGCAGGATATTAATTAAAATGACAATGACGTTCAGCTTTTGCCTTTCAAATGGGGCCACCTCCATCTCTGGTCCTTTCTCAGGGTGGCAGAATCTAATCAGAGGATATTGTCTCTAAGCTAGCAAGAGCTATGAAGAAAAAATAAGTGAAGCTGAGTATAGTGTGAGTGAATAAGATAGGCTCCAAAATCTGTCTCTGCATGCGGGGGGGAAGGTAACTCATTAACCGGTACGTGGATGAGTAGTGAGCAGCGATGAACCTCACAGCCCCTTATTTGCTGGGAAAAAAAGTACATGGTAACCAGATTGCTAGAAACGCTCTTTTTTGAGCTATTAAGTTTGCTGGTCATTCCCTGAAACGCACCGGTTTCTCTCTGACATGAGACCACAGGCAGACACGCTCTTTGGAACACACCACCATGGCCATCTGCACCCTGCTGTCCACGACCATCTCCACTGGTGGCTTAAGCTAACCCAGCCTGACCTTGCGTTGAAGCAAATGACAAGTTTCCACAGCCTTTGTGACAGCAGAGCAGTAGACAGCAGGAGGAAAAATAACATCTTCATGCTGTTGAAATAAGATTTGTTAGTGCTTGTGCGTTACAATGGTGAGGGACAGCAGGTCCAGAGAGGTGATTTGTCCACTTTACTCTGCTCTGGTGAGACCTCACCTGGAGTACTGTGTGCAGGTCTGGAGCCCTCAGTATAGGAAGGATATGGACCTGGTGGAGCAGGTCCAGAGGAGGGCCACTAAAATGATCAGGGGGTTGGAGCACCTCTGCTACGAGGACAGGCTGAGGGAGCTGGGGTTGTTCAGCCTGGAGAAGAGGAGGCTCCAGGGAGACCTAATAGCAGCCTTCCAGTACCTGAAGGGAGCCTACAGGAAGGCTGGGGAGAACCTGTTTACAAAGGGCTGTAGTGACAGGACGAGGGGCGATGGCTTCAAGCTGGAGGGGAACAGATTTAGATTGGAGATTAGGAGAAAGTTCTTCACTGTGAGGGTGGTGGAGCACTGGAACAGGTTGCCCAGGGAGGTGGTTGAGGCCCCATCCCTGGAGATATTCAAGGTGAGGCTCGATGAGGCCCTGGGCAACCTGGTCTAGTTGGGAGTGTCCCTGCTGACTGTGGGGGGGTCGGACTAGATGGCCTTTGGAGGTCCCTTCCAGCCTGGACAATTCTATGATTCTATGACACCGGGCTGATTAGGTGGTAGATGGCTGCTGGCAGATGCCTGGGGAGGTCTAGAGGACCAAGGGAAGGATGTTGAGATGTTTGTTGGCGTATCTCACAGCCCTCCGGAGCTTTATCCTGATACAACACTGTGTGGGAGCTATGCACGTTTTAACTATTCCTTGTGAAACCATACCAAAATTGTTACAGCTGTGTGTGACTTCCACAAAACAGGAGGGGAGGGCAGGCATGGAGGGAGGTTTGATCTGCTGTGGGGAGAAGGTGTCCCAGGACTCCACGTTGCAAAACTTAGCTTTTAAGAGTCTGAAAACTACGGGAATTGCAGCCATTGGGACACGGGACTCATCTCTCTTCCAACTGAGCTCCTGAGCTCCTCCAGTCCTTGTGTGGCTGGTGGAGCAGGGGCTGAGCCCGTCCAAGCGAGTGTCCTGCTCCCAGGTCATTCTCTTTTAGTTTTGTCTCCACTTGCTCACTGAAAGGTGCCGGCAGAGTTTGTGGGGATAGACTAAGGTGCCCAAAGAACAAATCTGAGCCAGCGTTAAGCTAAATTAACCAGAGAACTTCTCACCCAAAGTGTCTCCCTGCTGCCTGATCGCACTGATTTATCTACGTCGGTTTCTGGTTTGTGGTAATGTTCAGGCTTCCTATGGAAAAAGCTTAAGATGATCCATTTATTTTAGAGAAGCCACAAAACAACTTTTTAGTCACCACTAAGTTGGGCTAAATTTGAACAACAGAAGCGTTTAAGAGAGGAGGGGCAGCCCTTCCATCCTGCTTGCCTTCCCCCGAGCCATTTAGTGCATCCTCTGATTAGTTTTTTGTTTCAAACCAGGCGGTGAGACACTGCGTCCACGAGCAACCCTCTCTGCTTTATCCTCTGAAACATTATTTCAGTCTGATAACGTAAATCCTGCTCTAGCTTTTTGTGATATTAATAATTTCAGAGGATTCCAGCGAACGAGTGGGGTGGATCTGCTTTTCATACCTCTTTCTCTAGGGCGTACTCTCCTGAGTGTTTCCAAATTAAATGAAATCATGATCACCGGATCACAGAGGCTGCCCAGCTTCAACCTTATTTATCATGTTTGGCTCATCTCCTAGAATTAGGGACAGAAAAGCTCACTACTTGGAAAGCTAATCAAAAAAACAATTTAAAATTCTGCTTTCTAGAAAATAGTTCTCCTGTGTAGATTTTGAAAGGTTGTTATCCTAAGCCAAATAAAAATTCATTTTAAGTTCTGAATCAGTGACAATATTTTTCATAGCTGGAAATATTCTTTTTTTTTTTAATTTATTTATTTTGCTTTGGCTTTTGCTTAGTTCTTTTAGATTATTGCCTGAGATCTGAGACTTGGGAAGGGTGTTGTTTTTTTTTTTATTTGTTAGATCTGAGAATAAAGCTGTCATTGCCATTAAATTTTTATTGGCCTTGTTCAGTCTTTTCAAAATTTCACAAGTTGGCTGTCACAAAGGGGAGAAGAGACTGGGAGGTTAATGTTACAAACAGATGTTATAATTAAAATTAAAGAGTATGATAATATTCTTCAGCCTTGACTACTGGTCCCATTTCAAGCCAACGGCACGGTGTGCTGGGGCATGGCTTCACAGTGTCGGGTCTGTCTTCTCCCAGCAGAGAAGCTGAACCTTCTTGTCTGCTGGGATGGGATGCAAAGTGGTCCCAGAGGGGAAGAAGTCAAAGGAAAAGGCGTGTGCGTGGGTCCCCTCTCTTAAAGCAGCGTGAATTACAATTCAAATTGTGTTGTAATTTATGGTGGCAGGTTTCCCACAGTGTGGTCTTCTCACCCTGCAAAAGAGAACGTGTGTAGGTGGCTGGTGGCCTTGCCTGTGGCAGCACAGAGAGAGAGAGTCAACCATTAGCGTGGAGACCTTAAAATGGGTAAAAGCAGAAGGAACTGGCTTGCTGGTCGTGTCACCTCTGTGCCAGCATCCAAGCCTTTTGATCACTAAACTCTCCATCCATTAACGAGCAGCAGATCAGGGGCCACACAGTAAGTTCTTCCTCCCTTTTTTTACGTTTCAAATAGGCTGTGAGCCATTATTCTGCAGCGACCATCCATCATATGGCCAGGGAAGCTGATACTGGACCAGTAACACCCCCAAAACATGCAGGGTAGGGGCTGGTCATGCAAAGGGGTTTCCTCGTGTGTAGCCTGGAAGCTTTCAGTCGCCCCAGCTCCGTGAAGGAAAACACGGTGATGTTAGAAAACATGCTGGAATTTTTTGAGGCAGGATCAGTGGGAATAGATTACATGCTGTGACGTCTCATCCTTGAATTGTTGTTCAGAATTAATGTCACCTCGTTACAATGTAAAATAGTGGGAATGAAGGAAGGGAAAACACTTACCTTTCTTCTGGAAACACGCCTTTTCTCCCACGTCCTTGATCAAGCTGCCGCTTCCATTGTCTCCCATGAGGTTTTTTTTTGCTTTCTATTTCTCTTCATCCTTCTGATTTCCCAGGTTTGTGTTTTTCATACAGTATCTACATGTTGCGAGAGATCAGGTTGATTTTTTTATTTTTTTTTTTTTTTTCTGCTTAGCAATAAGCAAAAGGGCCAGGAAGGAAGTAGGATGCGAGTTGCACGTGCGGTAGGGTGCTTTTGTGTCAGTGCCAGCATCTTAGATAAAGATAGTGATATTAAAATGAGTAACTGCTGCATTCATCTGCCCAGCCCTGAGCACACATGTGCTTCCCTCCAAGGAGCAAACCAGCAGGTGTACACTTAGCAAACACCTATATCAGAAGATAAATAGGTTTTTTAGGAGGGAGGGGACATGGACACTCTAAGGAAGAGGGGAGATTTAGATTAGATATTAGGAAGAAATTCTTTCCTGTGAGGGTGGTGAGACACTGGAACAGGTTGCCCAGAGAAGCTGTGGGTGCCCCATCCCTGGAGGGGTTCAAGGCCAGGCTGGATGGGGCTTGGAGCAACCTGGTCTGGTGGGAGGTGTCCCTGCCCATGGCAGGGGAGTTGGAACTGGATGATCTTTAAGGTCCCTTCCAACTCTAACCGTTCTCTTATTCTATGAAACAAGTACCAGGATTGTTTTGCAAGAGCTCCTGAGCTCTATCTGAGCAGAGGACAGAAAAGAGGCTCCAAATTCCCACAGTAGGACCTATCCCTGCTTGCCTTGTCTTGCAAGCTGGCTCGAGAGAAGAAAAAACTTTGGCTGGCAATCTCTGGGTGCGGCTGTCGAAGGGCAAACCTTCTTGCCTGCTTGGAATGACATGTGAGAAGCTGGTGGCTTAGGTCCATGTTGGGAGGTCGAGGTGTTTGTCGTGCCTTTGTGTCATACTTCACCCGGAGCTGCGGTTACACATCCAGTTTCATAAAACAAATTTGGGCAGCTGCTGAGAAGAGTGAGTAGGCTCTTTGGGCATCTGCTGTGCTCCCACTCCCTTTCTGGCACTGGCACAAGCATTCGTGCAGTGATGTTGTCAGTTTTTAACTAGATTTGATCTTGGTGACCGTATAAACGTTCATGCTGGCATGAGGAACAGGACTGGAATGCTCGGTGGAGAGCCGGACCCCATCTATCAGTCTTGTGCCAAATTAAAATGGCCAGGTAACTTGGTTACCAGCAAAGCTGATTCTGCAAAGTTGGAGACTCAGGTCCTTAGGAGATAATTTCTAACTTGCATTTGTTTCTTTCTGTATTACTGCCTTCCTCTGAGCTGGGTTTTAGCCAGGTGTAAGCAGAGCCGTTAGGCAGAAAGGTAACCACATCTCGAGAGCTACCTCAAGAGCTGCTGCTGAGGTTTCCAGAAAACCTGTCATTTGAGTGGACAGCCTGGTTGGCACCAGCTCTGGTATTGGTAGAGAGAAGCCCTTCCAGGCCGTTGCCAGCACTCACATCTGGCTTTCCCCATTTTCATCGCTTGGGTCCCTTCAGCCCAAGGGGCCAGTTACAGCCTCATCTCTTGCATGCTGAGTGGCCGTGCTACTTGGTGCAGGTGGTTCTTCATAACATGGAGGTCACTCCTAGTGTCTTAAACTGTGGATGTCCTGTTGGCTGTCAGCTGCTCATTTCACCATACTGTCTTCTCCCTTGTGCATCCAGTCCTTCCATCGCTGGGAGTCCAGTCCAGACTCAGTCCAGCCTGGTGACCTCTTCCCATGTATTGAGCTACCCGGTCCTTCCTGAGTGCAAGGCACAGAGTCACCTGAAGGTCAGGGCTCTTCATTTAAACCTTTCACGGGAGGAAAGCTGCTTAGTACTAAGTTGTTGTTTTTTTGGTTGGTTGGTTCTGTTTTCTTTAGTTCTATTAATCTTTGCAGAACTGAGTAGAGAGCGTATAGCTAAAAATGAATCTGACATACATGCACATGGGGGAGAGAGAGCAACCTCTTGGTCCATGGAGGGATAGCCAGGGGGTTGCTGGAGGAAGGAAACTAGTGTAGATCAGCAGCTGGGTTACTTCTTCTGAGGGTATCCTCATAGAGGCAGCATCCTCGTGTATAGAGCTATGATAAAGATGACCAGGACATCTGATCAATGCTTATAAATACTTAAAGGGAGGGTGTCAAGACGATGGGGCAGGTCTTTTTTCAGTGGTGCCCAGGGATAGGACAAGAGGAAATGAGCACAAACTTGAATATAAGAAGTTCCATCTAAACATGAGGAGGAACTTCTTTCCTGTGAGAGTGGCAGAGCCCTGGAAGAGGCTGCCCAGAAAGGAGGTGGTGAAGTCTTGTTCTCTGGAGACATGCAAAACCTGCCTGGACATGTTCCTGTGCAACCTGCTTTAGGTGGACCTGCTCTGGCAGGGGGGTTGGACTAGATGATCTCCAGAGGTCCCTTCCAACCCCATGGGATTCTGTGACAGTTACCTGAGTTTCAAGTGGGAGCTGCACCGAGTTGCTCCGTAGCCCTGTAGCCTTGGTGAGGTGTGACACCTGCAGGTATCGTGCAGTGAATGGATGTGAGTGGGTGTATCTCCACCGCACTGACCATGCACAACGCAACAGGCTGGTCCTTGAGGACCACACCTAGTTTGCTCAAGCGTTCTGAAGGCTCCCATTGTGTTTTAAAGGCCTTAAATACGAAGTTCCCAAGGACAAAGGCAATAGGATGTTGAGCAGGGCTTGTGTAGGTGAGGCAGGGATTTCCTGTTACACCCCTATAACTCACGGGGGGTTCACGTGCACACTCCAGGCTGCTCCGTACTAACAAGTCGCTGCACATCTGCCGAGCCAAAGGAACTCTCTTGATGCATACCCTTGCCCTGTGGCAAATACAAGATGAACAAATTAGGCTTTTAGCCTTCCTTCACCCTGGGCTAAATTAAGTCAAACGTATCTTGCATAAGGTGTGGGTTGCGAGCACGTGTGTACACACAGGCTGTAATTGCCTGTGCACCTGAGCGGTTCCGTGCTTTCGTAATTCCAACGGGTGCCCACCTAAACCTTTGAAGATGTTTTTTGCCCCAGTAAATCTGTCCCCGGTAAAATGGGCTTGCCTGCGGCCACGGGAAGTTTGGGTGCAGAAATGGGGGTATTGGTGCGTTCCCCGCAGGCGTGGGATGATGACAGAACGAGAGGGAATGGCTTCAAGCTCCAACAGAGTAGGTTTGGATTGAGCATTAGGAAAGAATTTTTCACAGAAAGAGTGATAGGGCATTGGAACAGGCTGCCCAGGGAGGTGGTGGAGTCACCATCCCTGGCTGTGTTTAAGGGCCGTTTAGATGCAGTGCTAAGGGACATGGTGTAGGGGAGGACTTTGTAGAGTAGGGTAGATGGTTGGACTCGATGATCCCAAGGGTCTCTTCCAACCTAGACAATTCTATGATTTTATGATGGCAAGCTCTCAGAGGCTCTTCCTCCAAGGGCTGCTGGGGAGTTATCTTCAGTGATTTTATCAAATTGTCGCAGCTCCTTTTATCATCTGGGCATCCTGAAACCGTAAAAAGAGCAAGCACGGCTCCATCCCGTTGCTGGCACGACTGCTTCTCAAAACCCAACTCCCTCCTAGAAGTTTGCATTTTGATGATATGACCTTTTCCTCCAAGCAGTGAGTTTTTAACGGAGCAATAGCAAATTGCGGCTGAGGAAAGCAGATAGAAAATGCAAAATCGCTCCACAGTGTGTAGCTTTTTAATCGCATTCCCATATTCAGTAAAAGTAATGAGATTTCTTGTTTATATTTGTAATCAGCAGAGGCAACTGACTGTGATGAGAAGCCGGACATTTCTCTACTACAAACAGGTAAAGTGCATTAAAATTTTTATCAGCTTCCAATGTGTGTATTTGTTTATTTATGGCACAGAAGCAGTTTTCAATAATCCTGGCGTGCTGTATACAGTCGGGTAATTGCACACAGGACCCAGCTATCTGAAGTTTTGAATGGCCTGTATTAAAAAACAAATGCTTCAGAATCATACAGTTTCTCCCTCTATTTCATATTCGTAAAACCTCAAGGTTCATGGTTGCAGCTGCTCTAATAAGGCCAGTAAGTTCCCCTTCTTATGCCAGACGGGGGCTAGCGCTCGTCCCTGGTGTTCCTGGGAGTTTTTTGAATTCTTTACAGAGTTATTGGTAGGGACAGACACCATAATTCGTATTTTAACATCATTTCAGTTGCCCCAGGTGTTAGCAATAATATCCCGTGTTCACAGAAGGATTGCAAAGACATTTATATGGTGTTTAAGTGGTTTACTGGGTTTTTTTGAAGTGCAGCCACGTTGCCTTAAAAGCCTGGCAGCTGCAGGGTAGCTGTGCATGGGGTGGGCTAGGAAATATGATTTTTGCATGCTGTTGCACAGAATCACAGAATCCCGTGGGGTTGGAAGGGACCTCTGGAGATCATCTAGTCCAACCCTCCCACCAAAGCAGGTCCACCCAGAGCAGGTTGCACAGCAACGTGTCCAGAGGAGTTTTGAATGTCTCCAGAGAAAGAGACTCCACCACCTCCCTGGGCAGCCTCTTCCAGGGCTCTGCCACCCTCAAAGTGAAGAAGTTCCTCCTCATGTTTAGGACTTCTTATATTCAAGTTTGTGCCCATTTCCTCTTGTCCTTGCACGTGGTTTGAAATCAAGACAGAGTGAGACTGAAGTCTGATGCACCCTCTCATTTAGAGACCATCCATCAATAGGTGTCCTGGTGGCAGGAACTGAGCTGCCGTCCTCTGAAAATCCAGCAGGGCCAGAGTCCAGAGAGATGATCGTTTCCCTGGGTCGTTTCCCTGTCATTTCACCAAGGTGCTGCCTGTTATCCCCAAAGCCAAAGAAAAAGCAGGGAAGATATCCTGGTAGTGTCCAGGAAGGGTAATATATCCTTGTCCTTACCAGAAGGACATTGAAGTGCTGGAGCATGTCCAGAGGAGAGCCACCAAGCTGGTGAGGGGTCAAGAGAACAAGTCATACGAGGAGAGGCAGAGGGAACTGGGGATGTTTAGTTTGGAGAAGAGGAGGCTGAGGGGAGACCTCGTTGCTCTCGACAACTACCTGAAAGGAGGGTGTAGAGAGGTGGCTTTTGGCCTCTTCTCCCAAGTGAATAATGACAGGACCAGAAGAAATGGTCTGAAGTTGGGGCAGGGGAGGGTTAGATTAGATATTAGGAAGAATTACTTTACTGAGAGAGTGGTCAGGCACTGGAACAGCCTGCCCAGGGAGGTGGTGGACTTGCCATAGAATCATAGAATCATCTAGGTTGGAAGGGACCTTCAAGATCATCTAGTCCAACCATCAGCTCTGACAAAAAAACATCACTAAACCATGTCCCCCAGCACCATGTCAACCCATTTTTGAACTCCAGGGGTGGTGCCTCAACCACCTCCCTGGGCAGCCCATTCCAAGGCTTGATAACCCTTTCGGTGAATAAATTTTTCCTAATATCCAACCTGAACCTCCCCTGGAGCAACTTGAGGCCATTTCCTCTTGTCCTATCACCTGTGACTTGGGAGAAGAGACCAACCCCCACCTCTCTACACCCTCCTTTCAGGGAGTTGTAGAGAGTGATAAGGTCTCCCCTCAGCCTCCTCTTCTCCAGGCTGAACACCCCCAGCTCCCTCAGCCTCTCCTCATAAGACTTGTGCTCCAGACCCCTCACCAGCTTCGTTGCCCTTCTACCTTTAAATACCTCCATCCCTGGAGGTATTTAAGAAACGTGTAGACATGGCACTTCAGGGCGTGCTCTAGTGCCTGAGATTGTTGGTTTATGCCTGTTTGTGGGTTCGTGGGTTTTTTGGTGTGGTTTGTTGTGGTGGTGTTTTGGGTTTTTTTGTTGGTTTTTTTTTTTTTTTTGTGGTTGGACTCGATGATCTCAAAGGTCCCTTCCAACCACGAAGACTCTGTGATTCCGTGAAGATCTTAAGCAGACAAACGGAGTCATGGATTACGGTGCGTTTTCGTCATGTTCCTAAGGTGTAACAGCAACGGGTGGTTGGAAGTGGGGCGATGTTGTTGGTGTGAGGAACAGGACGGGGCTGTGGGGTGGTCGGGAGGACGCTGGCAGCATCACAGCATCTGTCCCTTGTGCAACCTCATCTCTCTTGTGTAAGGGCTGGAGAAGGAGCTTTCATCCACGGCTGCTGTGCGCCGGGGCTGCCAGTGGGAATGCGGGTGGGAATCCCGCTGCCGGAGCACGTGTGCAGTTCCTAAGGGAATAGGAGCAGTCGGGAGGACAAGAGGCCACAGTCTGGTTCTGGCGTGGGCCCAGCGGGGGCTGGGAGCAGGCACTGATGTTCTTGGCCAGCCACGGAACGTTTCGGGGTCCGGCTGGGATAACTAGAGGCAGGAAGCTCTGGTGTGAAAGGTCTCTGCCAAGTGACATCCTGTTCGCTTCTTTTATCGGGGAGGGAAGCAATTCTGTTGCGAGGGGACCCTCGTGAAGGTTGCTGATGTGACGCAGCGTTATCTTTTCATTGCTCTGGTGACCCTGTTAAGGGGCAGAATTATTGGATTGCTGTGCTGTTCTTCGAGTGTGGTTTCTGTAGCTACTACTTGTGTCGTACGTCACTGATGGAAATGAGCGTGCTGAGATGGTCGTGGTAGAGAAGAAGACTCCCTTCCCACTCTGCAAGACATCACCCTTGTGGTCTGCTTGCTCGTAGACCTTTGAGCACCCATGTGGAATCAGGGAATTGTCAGTTAGAAGGAACCTTTAGAGATCACCTAGTCCAACTCCCCTGCCAAAGCAGGCTTGCCCAGAGCACATCACTCAGGACTGCATCCAGGCAGGGCTTGAAGATCTCCAGAGAAGGGGACTCCATGACCTCCCTGGGCAGCCTGTTCCAGGGCTCTGGCACCCTCACCATAAAGAAGTTCTTCCTCATATTTGAGTGGAACTTCCCATGTTCCAGCTTGTGCCCGTTGCCCCGTGTCCTATCACTGGAAACCACTGAAAAGAGTCTGGTTCCATCCTCCTTCAACCCACCCTTTAGATACTTGTAAACATCGATAAGGTCTCCCCTCAGCCTTCTCTTCTCCAGGCTAAAGAACCCCAGCTCTTTGAGCCTTTCCTCATCGGGGAGGTACGGGTGCCTCATTAAGGGTGCCTCGTTAAGGGTGCGCGCAGTTTTGGAGCCGAAATGTTTTCCTTTGCCATCTATACCTCTCCCTGCCATCGATGGAGGGACACCTCAATAAGCCACCCTGCAGTTTGCCTCGGTGGGGGAGGAGGTGCTCAGAGGCTGCGAGCCAAGCGTTTGACTCACCCCCGTTATTATACGTGCGCGAGTGCCTCTTTGTAGTACGGATCCATGTAATATCATACTGTTCTTAGAAGCAAATGATTTAAAGTGATATACAGACAGTATAATGACAGTAATTATAACAGACAGCCAAAGTACAGATGCTTTCTATCAAGGAGCGTAGCGAAAGAGGTGGGAGACGACTTCTAACAGTGGTCTTTCCCTCTCTTTAGCACAGCTGGTTTTATGAAGGGGTCTCACTGACAGGTTCTTTAAAGAGAGCCTTCATGCAATTTATTGAGCTGTCTTCTCTGTTTAGCTGGAAACATCTTTGGGGAAGAATCTCTCCAGCTGTGTGTTTGTACAGTGCCTGGCGCCGTCGGGCTTGGTGGCAGATGACGGCTAATATCAGATAAATCACAGCCTCAGGTTGCACCAGGAGAGGTTTAGATGGGATATTAGGAAAAATTTCCTCACCCAAAAAAGGGTTATCAAGCATTGGAACAGGCTGCCCAGGGAAGTGGTGGAGTCACCATCCCTGGAGGTATTTAAAAGACTTGTAGATGTGGCACATAGGGACATGGTTTGGCGGTGGACTTGGCAGTGTTGGGTTTACGGTTGGACTCGATGACCTTAAAGGTCTTTTCCAGCCTAATCGATTCTGTGATTCTGTGATCAGTGGTTAACCTGGTGTGTTGGTAGAATAAAGCCAGACCAAACTGGATTGCTTGAGAGTCTGCGCCCAGTCTTGCAGGAGACTGGATGATGGGGAGAAAAGGTGGTCCACAAAAGCTGTTTATGAAAGACGGTTGCTCTCTTGGTCTTCAAGAATTGAACAAACTTGTGCTGCAAAAGTGCCCAGAGTGAGTGACTTGAATCACTGATAAGTGTTGGTGCAAAAATTAAAAAAAAGGAAAACTCAGATGCCCTTAATCTGCCTTTCCTGCTCAGTCAGCCCTGCCTGTGACGCCAGTGACATTATGAACATGATCTGGGCATATATGGACCATCGATGCTGAAACACCTCAACCTAATGTGTTTCTAGATCTCAGCCTATGGCTGACACATCATTTGAGACACCTCAGTTAGAAGCGTGGTTGCTCTCAGCTCTCTTCGTCGTTGGTGGGAAGAAGGTTGTTTCCAGAGAGAAGGTTGATCAGCTGAGGTCATGTTTGGAGGTGACTCTCCTTTGGTACCAGCAGGACTGTGCTCTGAGAGCAGTTAATTGGTACAGGTGCCTACAGCCAGGTTTGAACCTGCTCCCTCTGTGCCCACCATTATCAAAGTCCTGTTCTTTGAGGAGAGCTGGGGGGGGGGGGGGTTCCAGATCCTATTTTGGAACTCAAAAGCCTTGTGAAAAAAATGGAGCTGGTACCTCCTCATAAAACCAAGGAAGACATTTTTGCCCAATTATATTTTAGCACTTCTGAGCAGAAATGGTGCTTCTGTTTTAAAATCACCCTCAACACTGAGAGGGCCTTTGCTTTAAAAGCCATTGATTGAAGGGTGTTTAAAGTCAATTGGGAGAACTGTGGCAGTTAAACTTGCTGGGTACTTTGGCGCATTGACTGATACATCTCAAGAAAATACTGGAAGAACTGTCTCTAACAAACGTTATCAAAGCTCAGGTCTCCCACAGTTGCAGCTTGTGCACCTACCAAGAGCTGAAGGCTGTGTCCAGACCCGAGCTGAGACAGATCAGACAGCTCCAGGGGTAATTACCGTGGACTAAGTGGAAAGACTGATTGGTATCTCGGTGATAACAGGAACCCGGAAGGTGTGAGATAGATCTTTATCAGGATGAAGATGTAGCAGCTTTTAGAGTCTTTCTCTAAGTTGGCATCGCGAAAAGGCTCCTCTTATTTTGGTCTACAATTCACACAAAGCATCTGGATTTTGTGTTTAAAATAAAAACCAGAAAAGGAAGGTATAACCTGTAAGTTGTGCACGTGGAAACAACCATAAGCCAGCTGTGACACCCTTCTCTTGAATCCTCATCTGCAAAATTGCATTTGAAAGATCTCTGTAGCCCAGGACCATGAGAGAGCCCTCCTTATACCCCTGCTTTGGACCACAGCTGTGCTGAGCGTTCGTGTAGTGTCTCCACACTGGAGTTAATTTCAAGATGAGAAAGCATTTTGATATCCCTCAAAGAAGCCGAAACACTAACATCCCAATCCTCGGGTCCAGGGGTGATACAGCTTTGTGAAAAGATGAGAGCAATCTCTTGGTAAAGAAACCCACGATAAGAAAACAGCAACGATCCAATTCTATACAGGTTGTCTGCTTTTCTCTTGGCATACAATATCAAGAAAACGAAACTTCAAAAAAAAAAAAACCTTTTCGAAACCTTAAATATAAATCCTTCATTGTAATATAAATCTTTATCCTTTCAGTGCATGATTGTATGAGTTTTCCCTTTTCATTGGGTTGTATTTGCCTCTCAGGCTGATTGATGTCTGTCTCCTATTTGCCCTGTGTTCTTAGCGCTCTCCTTGTAATTCTTCTGTCCATCTTTCATTGTTCTGTTTAGAAAAAGCACATTCTTAAAGTGCTTTAAAGAAGATGGGATATAATCATACCGTGCACCTTTTTTTTATATATATATATATGTATATTCTCCCGTATGCATTTAGACTGCTGTGGAGTGGTGGTTTTTTTTTTTCCCAAAGATCCCAAAGTACGTACTCGAAGTTTAAAATTCAAGTGGTGCTTTATTTCGCTTCTTCAGAACCGTAACTTCAAAGGGGTGAGCATCACGGTGCAGTTTGTGCCCAAGTCTAATGCAGCACTTTACATCTGAAGCGGGGTGCGCTATACATTGTGTGAAAAACTTTGCTGGCAAATTCTGTATTCAAAAAATAAAATAAAAAAAAAATCTATTTAATTTGCTTTTCTGTAGCCAATTGAGCTCTACTCTAAAAGGAATAGAGGAATAGAACAAGTCCTATGAGGAGAGGCTGAGGGAACTGGGGATGTTTAGTTTGGAGAAGAGGAGGCTGAGGGGAGACCTCATTGCCCTCTACAACTATCTGAAAGGAGGTTGTAGAGAGGTGGGGGTTGGCCTCTTCTCCCAAAGGAATAATGACAGGACCAGAGGTAATGATCTGAAGCTGCAGCAGGGGAGGGTTAGATTAGATATTAGGAAGAATTACTTTACTGAGAGAGTGGTCAGGCACTGGAACAGCCTGCCCAGGGAGGTGGTGGAGTCACCATCCCTGGAGGTACTTAAGAAACGTGTAGACGTGGCTCTTCAGGGCATGCTCTAGTGCCCAAGGTTATTGGTTTGTGGTGGGATGTTGTGTGGGGTTGTGGGTGTGGGGTTTAGTTGGTGGGTGGTGGTCTTGGGTTTGTTGTTTTTGTGGTGGTTGTGTTGTGGTTGGTTGTTTGGTGGTTTTTTGTTGGGTTTTTTTTTGTGGTTGGACTTGATGATCTTGGAGGTCCCTTCCAACCACTAAGATTCTGTGATTCTGTGAATTCAGCAGCCGCTGCCTGCGTACTCACCAGCAGTTCAGCCCCATCACAAATTAAAGTTAGAACTCAAATATGTCATTTCCATCATTGTTTTTTTAATTACCAATTTCTTAAACTTTTATATTTTTTTAACTGATTCCTTCGAACTCTCTCTTCCCTCAGGTAGCCTTTTCGACACCACAACGGATCATCTGATAGACGCCAACCCAGATTTTTCAGCTTGAATTTCCCACCCTGCATTGGTGTTTTTAGCAGATAGAGACCTCCTCTCCTTCGAAGGACGTTGCCACCAGCCCGGCAGGAGAACACCACCGACCCACGAGGCGTGGACGTCCGTGCTCTTACCCCTTCCCAGTTTGTGTTGTGTCATGCCTTTTCCATGTAACCTCAGCTAACGAAACCGCCAGATTGCTTCACTCTTCCTCATCTTAATTAAAGACGATTTCCCTCCGTATCCAATGCATTATTTAATTAGCGGGGTATCCACTCTGAAGACGTTCTCTTGCCTTTGTTTTTTTCCTCCACGATTGTATTTTTTTCCACGTGATTGTACGCTTTGCCAGCAGTGTTTTGTCTTAAGCCACGCGGAGGTGAATACGCAGCCGGGTGACCCTCCCTGTCCCTGGGGACTGGGGTGGCATCTCTTTCCATCAGGGCTTGAGGAGCGTTTGACTGGACGAAGCTCTTTGCTTCTGCAGACCCGCTGCCGTGGGACCAATGACCAGATTAAAAAGCCCTGGCTGGATTTAGCAGGAAATAAAGCAGGATTCCTCCCATCGGTGCCTGGTTTCCTAATTATAGCAAGGAGAAGCTATTCCTCAAACAGTTTCCCCTCCGTGGTCCTAGCGGGATGGCTCCCGAGCATCTTGGTAGTGCAGATTGCTGGAGGTGGTCACTGTCCCCTTGCTTTGCCCCCACCCCCAAGCTGGCCCTGCCACCTCAATCTCAAAATATATCAGTTTGCTGATTTCCAGGAAGAGGGTCTGCACGCTGGGATTTTTCAACCGCTGCCCTTGGCGACAATATTCACCTATTTTAAAAAAAAAAAATATATATATATAAATAAAGTCACCTTTTGACTGGCACTCTATTGATATTTCAGCAGTTGAGATGAGTGAATCGATCAAGAAATTGCACTACCCTCTTTGACGTCGAAAGGGGTGTTTTGTCTTAAGTCACGCGGAGGTGAATACGCAGCCAGGTGACCCTCCCTGTCCCTGGGGTGGCATCTCTCTCCATCAGGGCTTGAGGAGCGTTTGACTGGACGAAGCTCTTTGCTTCTGCAGACCCGCTGCCGTGGGACCAATGACCAGATTAAAAAGCCCTGGCTGGATTTAGCAGGAAATAAAGCAGGATTCCTCCCATCGGTGCCTGGTTTCCTAATTATAGCAAGGAGAAGCTATTCCTCAAACAGTTTCCCCTCCGTGGTCCTAGCGGGATGGCTCCCGAGCATCTTGGTAGTGCAGATTGCTGGAGGTGGTCACTGTCCCCTTGCTTTGCCCCCACCCCCAAGCTGGCCCTGCCACCTCAATCTCAAAACGTATCAGTTTGCTGATTTCCAGGAAGAGGGTCTGCACGCTGGGATTTTTCAACCGCTGCCCTTGGCGACAATATTCACCTATTTTAAAAAAAAAAAAATATATATATAAATAAAGTCACCTTTTGACTGGCACTCTATTGATATTTCAGCAGTTGAGATGAGTGAATCGATCAAGAAATTGCACTACCCTCTTTGACGTCGAAAGGGTCGGTCCTTTCGGGTCAGGGCTAAAGGAAAATCGTTCGCGGGCCTCCCTGCAAACCTTCACTTCTGCACCTTTCATCAGCACTGAATTCACTTTAAAAAAAAAACGTCGGGAAAAAGTCTAGAAGGTCTTATCTGCAACATCTGTCCATCACCAGGCGGTTGGAGCGTGTTTCCTGCGATGGGAGGGAGAGCTCGCTAGAGCCTTCACCCTTGTGTTCCCTTTCCCTGTGTCTGTTTTAGGTGCGTCTTTTTTTATCTTTGGAAACTATTTGGCCTTTGAGTGTCTCAACAGAAGTGCTATTACAGAGTGGGATGGTTTTCAAAATATTTAATCTCTTTTTTTTTTTTTGAACAATCCTAAAGCCTGTTTCTCAGATGTGGCTGAATTCCCCCAAATAACACCACCGAAGCCGAGAGCAGGAGGGGTTTGTCCTCTCGGCACCTGAGAAACCAGGCTCCTAGCACTTCCCGTGGACTTTTAGGAATGACCCTGTTCTCTCTGAAACTGTGGAATAGATCGAATGTGCACTGCAAACCTTAAAAAAAAAAAAAAAAAATTGGAGTCTTTTCCTCCCTTTGGTGGCTCGGAGTTGCCTGCGCTGCGCAGGGGACGCCGGTCCGTCGTGTCCGTGTCGTAACCCTTCCGCAACGGAATCAACGTTTTGTAAATTTGGAAGATTGCGTTTGTGTTTACTTAACTGTGACTACTGTTCAGAACTTTCTTCAGAAATCTTTTTATAGGGTTTATTAGAGAGAAGAAGAAGAAAAAAAAAAAAAAAAGTAAAAATCATTCCATATTTAGGTAAAAATGTCTCAATCTTCTGTATATATGTTTTATTAATATGTAAATATTTAGATATTTTTAAATTACTATGTTCTTAATAAAGCGAGAAGGGACTAGTTGTGAAATGGTGTATAACATTGTGTCGTGTTATCGATCTCTGGGAAACCCTCTTTGTCAGTTCAGAAAAGAAAAAAACCTACAATAAATAACTTTAATTGCACGCGTGTCCCTGTGTTCTGTGCTGGATTCCCACCTTTCAGAGGAATTCCCTAGCAATTAGTGGATTGCATGGGGAAATGTCTGGAAAAGCCTAAAAGTTAGCACCACAATACTATTTTTTCCAACTGGCTCAAACAAAAACATTGCCAATCGCCATGACATCTATATCCAGTTGCATAATAACTCTTGAGTATTAAGTGCTGATATGCTTGAAGTCTAATTTTAATTGAATTAGGTGCCTTTATAATCTGCACTTAAAAGGTTAAGCTCTGCTTCTATGGAAACAACACATAGGAGGGACAAACCGATCCTCGTAATTTGGAGTAGCTGAAATGATATAGGCTTGGTGATTTATTATCACACCCTCATCAAAGGTTGTTTAGCCTTAGAAAATATTTCCTGCAAAAACACGTTCCCGGTAATCTTCCACTGGTTAGAGGAGCCAGTGAAGTGAAGGAGCGGCTCACCACACCCTTTCACTTTATATAAGAAGTGATGGGGGTAAATCGCTACTAAAAAGTCCAGTGATAAGAGTTTTCCTTACACTTTGGTGGCTGCAGGGATCGGCTGGAACCTGGGGCACGTCTTGTGACGTGGTGTGCGTCAGCTCCGTCCCGCTCCACCAGGCAGCACTGAGAGAGCAAGTAAATCACAGAACCACAGATGGGTTTGGGTTGGAAGGGACCATTAAAGACCTCCATAGTCCACCCCCCCTCCCACCAGAGGTCCCCACACCTCCCACCAGACCAGGTTGCTCAAAGCCCCATCCAGCCTGGCCTTGAACCCCTCCAGGGATGGGGCAGCCACAGCTTCTCTGGGCAACCTGGGCCAGTGTCTCACCACCCTCACTGTAAAGAAATTTCACCCTTATATCCAATTTAACCCTACCCTCTTCCAGTTTAAAACCATTGCCCCTCGTCCAGTCACTGCAGACCTTGGTAAAAAGTCTCTCTTCATCTTTCTTACAAGGCCCCTTTAAGTACTGAAAGGCCGCAATGAGACCTCCTCAGAGCCTTCTCTTCTCCAGGCTGAACAACCCCAACTCTCTCAGCCTGTCCCCACAGCAGAGGTGCTCCAGTCTCTGATCATCTTTGTGGCCTCCTCTGGGCTCATTCCAACAGGTCCATGTCCTTCTTATGTTGGGGGCCCCAGAGCTGGAGGCAGCACTGCAGGTGGGGTCTCAGCAGAGGGGAGCAGAGGGGCAGAATCCCCTCCCTCGCCCTGCTGGCCACGCTGCTGGGGATGCAGCCCAGGATACAGCTGGCTCATGTCCAGCTCTTCATCCACCACTACCTGAAGTCCTTCTCTGGGGGGCTGCTCCCAATCCCTTCATCTCCCAGCCTGTATCGATACCAGGGGTTGCCCCGACCCATGTGCGGGACCTTGAACTTGACCTTGCTGACAAGTCATATGAGGAGAGGCTGAGGGAACTGGGCATGTTTAGTTTGGAGAAGAGGAGGTTGAGGGGAGACCTCATTGCCCTCTACAACTACCTGAAAGGAGGGTGTAGAGAGGTGGGGGTTGGCCTCTTCTCCCAAGTGAATAATGACCAGACCAGAGGAAAGGGTCTGAAGTTGCATCAGGGGAGGTTTAGATTAGATATTGGGAAGAATTACTTTGCTGAGAGAGTGGTCAGGCACAGGAACAGCCTGCCCAGGGAGGTGGTGGAGTCACCATCCCTGGAGGTATTTAAGAAACGTGTAGACATGGCTCTTCAGGGCATGCTCTAGTGCCCAAGGTTATTGGTTTGTGTCTCTCTGTGCTTCGTTTGTGTGGGTTTGGTTTTTTGGGTTTTTTTTGTGGTTGGACTCAATGGTCAGAGGTCCCTTCCAACCATAAGGATTCTGTGATTCTGTGATTCTGATTCTTGAGGTTCACATGGGCCCACTCCTCCAGCCTGCCAAGGTCAACCGCAGCCGCCAGCACCCTCCACCTGCCCACAAGCTGGCTTCAGATCTGAGTGCAACTCATCACTCACGTAATTAGGCATCTTCCAGCTTGACGAGACAAATCCATCCTTCCCTAAACAACAAGTGCTTTCCCTCACCTGCTCTGTGCTGCAAGTCATCCCCAAAAGTGTGGCTTGGTTTGGCTTGGTGGTTTTTTTAAACAGGGGGCAGGTCAATACATCGTTATTTGTAGCATTAAGTGCAGTGCCCGTCTTTAAGATACAATTAGGAGTGAGAAATGTTGCTGTGGGCCAGGATCTGCAAAGTCACCAGCAAATTCTGCTGCAAGGTCGGGGCTTCACCTCTTTGAAACAGGTTTGGGATGGAGCAAGCGCCGTTGCCAGCACCTGCACATGGGCTCCAGCCCGTCTTGGGCATCCTCGCTGGGCCATTCGGCCAGTGCGACCCCCTGTTTTGTGTCCAGGACACGAGAGATTAATACTTTGGGTGAAAAAAAATCCTTCTGAAGCGTAAGAGGAAAAAGGATATCCTCCTGCTAACATGAAAGGAAACTGGAGCCCGGGCTTTATAAAAAATGCATTAATTGCGAGACAAGAAGAAAGTCATCTCAAGTGCCTGTGACATGGTTTAGAAATGGCTGGCGCTGAGTCTTTTGGGGGAAACACGTGCCGTTAACGATGGAGCAGTTTGGGGACGGGTGGTCCTAATGCTGCCACCCCTCCTGGAGAGAAACCTTCTCCCCCCAAAAACCTACCAGCACTGAGATCGTGATGCCTCACTGGGAAACGTGTGTCTCCTTCGCCGGGGACGAGAGGGGACACGCTCCCAGGAAGAACCCACGTGACAACAGCAGCCACCCTTCATCACTGCCACGTCCTCACTGAGAGACAGATGTAGCCAGGATTTTGCAAGACTTGGCAAAAATAAAGCCCTTGTTGCACGTTCTCCCCCAAACCTCAAGTAGAAAAATGTCTTGCAGGAGGTGCCGAGACACCTCTTCTCCCCCTACCCCAGCAGCTCTCCCACTGCTCCAGCATCCCCACAGCCGGGCTGGGGTCAGCACCTTCACCCCTTCCCCACCGCGCTGTCGCCGTGGAGGCACGAGAGGGGTTTGTACAAGTAGGTCAGGAATGATTTCTCATCCGCCAAATGCTAATAAAAGCCGCCGATGTGAAACCTATAACATTATGTGTATAAATAATTTAGCTCCGGTGTGTAAACATTGATTCTGGGCTTTAAAAAAAAAAAAAAAGAACTAATTCCATCAGCTTTTTCCCCCTCCCCTCCGTGCATATGTCTTACGTGCTGCTAACGGGGGCAGAAAATAGCTAATACGTGGGGAATTTGGAAATCGGGGAGACACACCCCTCGTGTTTTTGTGCTGGCTCCTTCCTCCCCCCAGATCCTCAGAGGTATAGAGGAATCAGGATGAGCAAGGGAGCTAATTAGGAACAAAGACGTAATTCTAGC